GACCAGCAGCTCCCTGGCCCCTGCAGCACGTCTGTAGCCGGCTGTGCCTGGGACAGTGTGTTGTCACCGTGCGTCACCATCAGTGTCTGGACACCCATGGCGTTTTAGAAGAACACGTTGCTCTGCCTTCTCCCCCTTTCCTTTTTCTTTTGCTCATTTTATTGCTGCAGTGCAGGAGCTCGTCTCTGATATTTGCCGAATCATGGCTTGCTGACCTCTCTCTCTCTCTCTGTTTATGTCTGTGCCTTTCCCTGTATGTTCTGTAGAGGATGTAGCAAATTTAACAGCCAGTGATGTGATGAATCGGGTAAACCTGGGATATTTGCAAGGTAATTCCCTTTCCCTGGGAGTCCCGCGTGACTCACGGCGTGCAGCGTACAACAAGATCATGCAGCTAAGCCCAATCCACACCCTTGCCGGTTTTCACCTTAGATACCCGAGCCTTTCAAGCACTAATTTGTTGGGTGGCGTTGGAAAACAAAAGACCGTCCTGCGACCGTGGTGCAAACGCAGGGCTCTGTAAGGTCATGGAGATAAAAACCTAAGGGACCCTTTTCTAGCTGAATTCTTACAGGGAAATCACAGCCCTGTTGTTAAAAAAAACCAACCTCCCTTTTGCTTTGCAAGTTGGTTTTGGTCTGTAAAGCCAGTGGCAATTCGAGGAGGGGATTTGCGGGAGGCCGAGCTCAGCGGAGCTGCCGGTGCGTGCTGCAAGGTGATGCTGGAGCTCCTGCACCAGCCCCTTCGCGGCTCAGCTGCACGTGGGTCAGCCGCAGCTCGGGGGCAAGGCAGCACTTGGAAAGCCCTTCGCAGTCCTTGGTTTGTGTTACTGGCCAGCCCTCCAGCGTTAGCAGACCCTGCTTTCTAACCGGGGAGGGGCTGGGCTCGGCGCGAGGCGGCAGCAGTAGCAGCCGCAAGTGCCGCCCGTGCCGCAGATGCCCAGGGGCACCTCGTTGGCATCTGCGGGAGCTGCAGCGTTATTGCACCATTTACACCTTTACGCAGGGGTGTAAAGCGTGCTGGAAAGGCCCCTTTTTAACTGCAGCAGCCTAGAGACTAGCAATAGCCCGACCTAGCTGTATTTTAGGCTTCACTAGCCCACGCTTAAGGTGAAAAGTTGGCATTTTCCTATGAACTGTGTCCTTCATCAGAGAAGCAGCCCCAGCTGGGGCTCATGGAAGCCCCACGCCAGCAGAGTATATTGCCAACTGGCCGGCGGGTGCTGGGCAGAGCTCAGAGCTCCACTGGTATGAGTGAGAGCCCGTGTCCTGCCCCAGAGGGGCCCAGCACCATCAATTCACCCCCTGCTAAGCCAGGAGACCCCACGGGTGAACACCCGACGTGGTGGCATCGCTGCCGGGGGCTGCGTGGGGGTGGGAGCTGGAGCTCAGCGCTGGCTCCCCCCCCCAAAAAAAAATTGCTGGAGGGTGCTGCTGGGCTGAG